AATTACATTTGAGACTCCAATTATAATTACCCGAATTATCTCCCCATGTTTTAGATATAATGTTCATTAATTAATTTGATTACTGACAATCAAGAATTAATTAATATATTATTATTTCACCGAAGTTACCGCTCGTTCATCACATTATTATTATGTCGGAACTTAATCCACCTGCAGGGTTTAGCATAACAATCCTTCATGAACTCACTTCGGGGACATCATCAAACTAACTGACATGGTGACTGTAAATATCCTAATAGCACATCATACATACAGTAATATTACCCATGACAGTAGGAATATAAATCCAGCGAACTGAACCTCACCCAAGTGAATCAAAGTAATATATACTACATATATATGTCTGTTTAATATCTTATGGGTTAAGAGAACCCTTAACCGAGGCCTAGTTCGTTTACGACGATCAGTATGAAACAAACTTCTGTTCTTTAGGATCCTATTCAATACATAAATGTCAACTAATCTGTCAAGACCAACTGTACCGTTGACACTACAACCGTTCGGATGGGGTGTTCATTTCCATCTAGGTTGTGAACCACAATTCTTGTTTCGCAAGTGACTAATAGAATGATCTTCTGTTCGCCCGATGATGACCCATTCTATCTAAGTGCAAAATAACAGAACATAAAACTTGTTTAATCAAACATGATTCTCATTTATAAAGCATAAAAGTGTAATATCATCCAAAGCCAAGCTTTCAGTATATAACACTAACACGCACTCAGTGGCTTGGCTCCAAGGATCAGACGAGAATGGGACATGTGTGCGAGACGACGACTCACTGGCCGACCGACCATATCCTGACAACCCAAGGACTCATTAATAACATATGATATCTAAAGTCATTTATACGGTACTAGGGTTTGGGCGATTATGCTCGGATCTAAAAATTGCCCGGTTTTTCAGAAACGGATAAAACTAGGGTTCTAGTTCTCCGAGTAACATAACTCATTTTAAGGCGAAACTTTAACCCTAATTTCTATGTGATTTATGGGGATTTTAGGTCCAACAACTATAGCTAAATCACTACCGAAACGATTTCTAACAATATCCTGATACAAGGCTAAAGTCCTGATTTTTAACCTATATCAAACGCTCTCCAAAAATCATGAAATTTTAACCACAACAACGTCAACATATATGTGATTTTTGGTTAAAATTTCACGGCAAGATTCAACCTATAACCCAATCAACCAAAATTGAACATTATAGCTCAAAATTCACAAATTCGGTTCACATGTCAAACGAACTCCAAAATTCACCAAATTCGCACCTTAGCCTGAAGACAATTTTATAAAATTAGAATCTCCATTTTATCACTTATATAACTCGAGATCTAAAAATCATTCCTTTAAGCTCGTAAAATCCCGATAACACATATCTCACTCAAATTCATAATTTATCATTTTTATAATAAACTATAATACTTGTCTAAGGCCATGAAGTCAGAGGTTCATCCATTTTACCTCAAAATGGACTCGAAAAAAATTCGGAAGAATGACTAGGGCTAGGGGAAATCACGGTTGTGCTCGGTATCGGGGAGCTCGACGGATCTAGTGCGTATGGTGCAGCTGCGTACGGGTCTGGTCGGCTCGGATGTGGTCTCGGTTGGGCGACGCGCCACGGATCTGGTGCGCGTACGGACACGGATTGCCGGGGAGCTAGTGAAAGGTAAGTGTGTTGCAGCGTACGGACGCAGGTTGCTTGCATCGGCGTACGGATGGTGTTGAGCTGCTGGAAACGCCGGCGTATGGAAGGGGCTGGGGTCGCGATGCTGTGGTCGAACAGGATCTGCTGGTCATCGTGGATCTGGCTCGATTAGGCTCGTGCATGTACGGAATGGTTGGGACTCGGCATACGGTCGTTGGCGTGGACGGGCTATGTTGGATGACATACGAACGTCAAGATTCTGCTTGCTGGGGCGTACAGAAGGGCGGGCGTGCAGTGTTTGATGAAGTACGGGCGCATCGAGCTGGGTCGCGTGAAGGACGGCGAGCTGGATGAGGCGGCGTACGGACGGTGCTGGGACTCACGGAGCCTCAGCGACGTGAGCACGGGTTGCTGCCGATGGGAAGGTGGTGACCAAAAAAGGCTCGGTTTTTATGTAGCTATGGCGTGGTATTTTGCTCTTAAAATTTTAGATTTAGGGTTTGAAATGAGGATGTTGGGAAAATTGTGAAGATGATGGTGTGCTAATTATTATATATATAAGAGTGAGGGAGTTAGGGTTTGGTAGATATTTTGGGCTTGGACTATGTACTCTTATTTGACTCGGGCCCAAAAATTAAAATGCTACTCGGGCTTGGTAATAAAATGTTCGGCTAGATAAATTATAACGGAACTTGGACTAAAATAATTGATCGAGTCAAGTAGATGACGGGCTCGACTAAATGGGCCCGAAAAATTAGGCTCGACTTTTGAATGGCCGAGATAATAAATGGACCGTGTGGACGTAATGGGATTACAATGACGGCTCGTTCGGGCTTTGGCCCGACTTAAATAGAATTTCGATATTTTCAAAGCTCGGTTTTATCTTAAAAATAAAACTGATACTTGGGCTAAATAAATTCGATTTTTAAAAGTAAAAATCGAATAAATTCTCCATGGATTAGACATAAAACTTAATACTTAATTTAATGCACATAATACTAGATAAATGCATCAAATAAGGAAACTTGCTATTTATGAAAATAAAGTTGAGCTCCATAAATAGTAAAAATATCCAGGACGTTATATGTATTTATTTTTTTTTTAATTAGGCGGGTCGGCCCGCGGTTAGCCCGCCACGCCCCGCCTCAGCCCGCGGCCGGCGCTGCCCAGCTCGCGTTGGCGGGCCTGGAAAATTAAGGCTCAACCCGCCCCTTTTACGGGGGCGGGGCAAGCCAGCGGGCCGCGAGCTGTTTTGACAGCTCTAATTGGGACATGACGAGGCCTGGCGGAGAAGCGGTTGCGTGCATATGGCAAGGGGCGACGGCCTTCTAGCGCGGGGCGAGCGTGGGTAGCGACAAGCATGCGAGATTCTCGCAGCAGCCCGTGCGCGGCAAGCACGCAGCAGCCCTAGCGTCAGGCGGACCACGTGCGTGATGAAGATGTGGTCATCGACCCTTCCAAGCCCAAGGACGAGACGCACTCAAGCCATGAAAAACGGTGCATACGTGGTCGGAACGACCGACGGGACTGTGCGAAAGGGGCACGCGTCAACGGTAATGGTAGCGAGCGTGGAAATCGTGCAACGCGTAGACCAGCGATACGCGTGGGCCACGTGACGAGGCATGCGGGAACGGGTCGCTCGTCAACTAAAATCATTAGTTAAATCACCCTTAACACGTGCTTAGTTCCATAACTAAGACCGTTACGATCGCTCGTCAACATATATCATTTGTATCATTAATAGTATATTAATGAATTAAAGTAATATATAAAATAATTATTACTTTTATATTCTGGAGAAATCGAATATTATATGTTTCGCATGAAAGTCTATTGTCTACATAACACGTTATTAGTTCCATGACTAAGACCTTTAACGATAGGTCGTCAACATATATCACTTGTATTAATAGTATATTAATGAATTAAAGTAATATGCTAATATAATTAGTACTTTTATAGTCGGGCGATATCAAATATTATATATTTCACATGAATATCTATTGTCTACATACATTAAAAAATATATTCAATTTGTAAGAGTTAATAATTCTAATTATATATATATATATATATATATATATATATAACCAAAAAACGAGCAAATAAAAAGTAATATAGCCAAGCAATCATACTTGAAACATTTGTTAAATTACATATTAATTAAACATGGGTTAATTGCAACTAAAATCACAACTTTTTGCTTAATTGCAAATAAAACTCAACATTTTTAATTTGGCATAAAAATACAAAACCTTTATTAACTGTTGCAATTTTGTCTCGAAAGCAAATTCCGGCCAAGCGACGCTGACATGGCAATTGAAAAAATGATCACTTTTTCTTTTATTTTTCCTTTTTCTTTTCCCTTCTTTTCTTCCTTATTCCCGTCACTTTCTTTCTTCTTCTCCAGATCCCCAATTCTCTCCTCTTCCCAAATTCTTCTTTTTCCTTCCTCAAATTCTCGAATTCCATTCTTCTTCTCCACGCCCTCGCTCAGAGCTCCTGACAACCGTCGTCGGCGGCCAGAGGTGGCGGCCTGAACTGGAAACACAAGGCAGTGACCTCGCGGAGTGCGCCAGCGATGGAAACACAATGCCGAGAGCAGAGAGAAAGGATTTAAGTGGCGATTTTTTTATCTGGATTTCGAGAGCTTGGAGAGGGTGAGGAGTGAGAGAGTTTCATAATTTTCCTATGGCTAGAGGAGAGCAGATGCTGTGTGAAAATAATGTGAGGGAAGGGAAAAAATCATCGCTAATAAGAGGGGAATAATGGGGCAATCAAGGTGATGTTAATTCCAAAATTAATACACTAAATGGCTCCTTTTGGGAAAAAATCGGAAGGGGCTAGTTAATCCATTCCAAGAATAAATCGGAAGGGGCTGGAGGAGAGCAGAACCAGGCGGTGGCTCGCGACGTGCCGCAGCCGCAGAAGGAGAACAGATTGGAATATTTTTTTTTTCTTTTTTCCTGAGAAAATGGGGGTGTGACTTGGAGGTTGACGTGTCTGATGACGTGGCACTGAATATTACATTTTAGGTGCCACGTCAATTTTCCGATCGGACATGTCAGCGCCTCTTCGCCGGAATTCAGTTTTGAGACAATTATGCAATACTTAATAAAAGTTTGTATTTTTTTTTGCAAAATTTAAAAGATTGAGTTTTATTTGCAATTAAGCAAAAGGTTGTGATTTTTTTGGCAATTAACCCATTAAACATTATAAACGTTGAAATTTTGATTCAACATAAATAAGAAAAAAATATTTGAAAAATAAAAAAATACTTGCCATGAAAAATTCACTAATAGGTTTATTAAATATTATAATCGAATTATCAAATGAAAAACATTTCATGTATTTAGATTTATAACAAATGAAGATAATTTTGATGAGTTAAACTATGATTAATTATCGAACAATATGCACATCATGAATTGTTAATAAATTATGGAGTCATCGAATGACACAACTTATTGAGTCATCTACACTTATTTATAAATAGTGTATTGACACATGTCCTACAATAAATACACTTTAGACATGTGTCAATACATTATGTGATGGATGACTCTATAAGAAAACCATCGGATGGCTCCACATAATTTCTGCAAAAAATAAACCAAGAAAATAGAAAAGAAGAAAATAACATACCATACCCGAGCATCGCACGAGTATCAAAGCTAGTTTTTAAATAGAGGGGTGTATCTCGATAGGTTTTACATGAGTGGAGTTTCCATAACAAGAGGGGTTTCTTGATAAAATTACTCACAATAGTATCCACGACAATTTATACAAATCAATGAGCATTGAGTGCAGATGGAGTCATGTCCCAACCAATACCATCAAAACTCCCCACAAGGTCTTCACCAGCAGGATTTCTTCTTCTGAACCAAATTATAATATAAAGCATTTCAGCACCAGATAATTACACGAAGAACAAAAGAGGCCTAAGAGGAAGAAAGAATGCATTCGCAACTTTATACTTTTTCAGGTCAATAATATATCAACTTACTTGGTACTTGGCTTCTTCTTGGCTGTCTATATAAGCAAGCAGCTCCTCTTGCTTCATCAAAGCCTCGTGCAGAGCCTACACACACACACACACACACTAAAATAAGCTCCTAAGGTATTACAAACGACTCCTTCAGCCACACTTTATAAACAACAAATGTCATTCTTTGTAGGGAGCGTGAGCAAATTTCTGAACACAAACAAATATCACAGATCGTATTTATAGTTTAGAAATACAGAGGGTTTTCCAACCAACAAAACTCGTGATTGTTCTTTTCTTGTGGCTTAATTTTCAACAAAAAATAAAAAAGAAAATAAAAACTTTAAAATTTGATTGACAATGTAATCAGACATTTTCAATTTGCAATAAATGTACAAAACGAAATCTTGCAATTCAAATCAACGGGCTAAAATTGCAAAGAAAACCATTAACTTTACCAAATTTGCAACATGTCATTTTGAATTGCAAAGAAAACCATTAACTTTACCAAATTTGCAAATCCCACATGGGCCAAAAAATTGCCAACATGTCATTTTAAATTGCAAAGAAAACCATTTTTACCAAATTTGCAAATTTAGCTTAAGCTTCGGAAATTGATAAATAAATACATGACTTCATCAATCTATTACTATTGTTACATTTGTGAATCATCAAGAAATAAATACATGCTAAATTTGTAAATTTGGCAAAGGTGATAATTTTTCTCATTCTCACAAACAAAATGGACACATGGCAATTTCTGCTACATGGGAGAGCATGCCCCAGTAACTTGAATTGCCATCGCGCCCTTGCTTGTTAAAAAAAATAGTAAAATTCGAAAACTTAGAAAAGCTCATGATTTATTTGAGAAGTAAACCTTTTCTTTCTATTTCTTTTATGTGATTAAAGTAAATGGGAAAAGTGAACAAACAATCCCCACAAAAAATATAAACAGAAATCGTTTGAACGTTCTAACAAGGGTGTTGACCTTGACCAAGTAATATTAAATGTTATATATACACATATAATATATGAACGTACTTTTTTTGTTGCAATCAACTCTGCTTCCAGGGCATCCACTCGGTAAACAGCAGCATTTAGCAGCTCCTCCTTCTCGTAAGGCATCTCATATGGCTTTGACTGGAGAGTGTCGAACTTATCCTCGAGCTCAGTCAACCTCTTAACAACAGATGTTAGAAGTTCGGCTTCTGTAAAAGATGGTGTTGGTGATGGAGGTCTAAATTCTTCATTGGTATTCGTGCCAAAGGCAAATCCTCGACTGGTTTGGTCATCATGCTTAGTTGCTGTGTCAGCACCGAGTTTCTTCATGACACCGAAGAAAAGGAAGAGAGTCGTGAAGAAGCTCATAAGAGCAGCCAAGAGACGAGCACAATATCCTTCCCGTACCTTTGGGGAATCACATTTTGGAAACATCTCTGGTTAAAAAATAAAAAAGTCAAATCTAGGAGAACAATTGATTGAAATAGAAATGGAAACATGAAATACTTAACACATGCATAATTTTTTTCTTTTTCTTAAAGAAAAAAAATCATCTTCTTCAACCTACAACTAGACCAATTTTCTTATTCAACTTACAAATACATAACTAAAAGTTGCTATATAAAGACATCCATAAAGGGGACTAAGAGCAACCATGTGTAAAAGGAAAAAAGTAAAAACATCACACATTACTTGTTTCTCTCATCATGATTCTTATCCCAAAACAGTGAATTATGATATAGGAGAAATATGGGGACAATTTTTCATGTTATATAAACATTATTCTTATACACACTGAAAACATTAGATCAGTAGCAACCAATTTATTTACCTTTAGATATATGAAGCTTCTCTGGACCTGTTTGCTTCTTCCATCCAGAATCAACAGCCTTGTCAACCATGGGAACATACTCATCGTATGCTGAGAACTTCCCATAGTAGCCAGGTGTTCCTATTGCCTTCGCCTAATAAGTCAGTCGAATACATTACCTCTTATCACAACAATTAAAACAATCCACCCATCATTTCTTTGATTACGAATGTACTCGTTCAAGCCCACTTTTATAGCCAAATTTGAAACAGCAATGAGATTTTATTTTCTATAAAAGAATCTTCTGAAATGTACACTAATAGTCTTAAAATAGCAGATTATCATCCCAAAGAGAACAGATGGGAACCCATCTCAGCAATGAATTACAATTTGCAGGTTAGTGATATCATAACTATTTTCGGTCATATAGAAGACTCATTAGGGAAAGAGGGCGGAGGTGNCAAATAGGAAATAAAGGCCAAATTCAGAAGAAACAAAATAATTGAAAAAAATAGTCACTAAACTCTTTCAGGCTTTAGACATAGCTCTTCTCGAACTGGAGTCAAACGAAGGTGTGAATAGTTTCTAGTGACTTTTGGTGAAGTAATATCTTCAGCTTCAGAACCAGACTCTGCTGTAGATGTATCACTACCTTTCATCTGTTGAAACAGTTACAAAATATATTCACTTAGAAGCAAATTTAAGAAGACATGCTCCTATACAATAAGACAACACAAATTTATACCATGGGTAGATGAGGCTTGGCATACACCACCTTCCCATCACTATTGATAATCTTGAATACCTGCCTGGCACGCCGTGCTTCACTATCAACCACCATCTGCACCAATAAGCAAAGCAGTACACAAGCTTAGGGCATGCTTGTTTATAAATTATTTCACTCACATTTAATTCATATCAAAATCTAACTCAACTTTAACTCAACCCCACTATCTTTAATATTATTCATATAATTAAATAATACAAACCACTAATTCTTACACATCACATCGACTTTAATTCACTATTCATCCATTCACATAATTTTAACTACCTATCATTTTCAATCATTTCCAATCATTTATCTCCTACTTTTACATCAAATCAATTTTAATCATTTTATTTTAAATATTATTTTAATAAGTTCTTAAAATCCCACTAACAACTAATCATACCACCTTTTTCAAAATCAACTCTTGTTAACCAAAATAACTCATTTGGGACGAATTATTTTGTAAACAAGCGAGCCTTACTATTTGAAGCAGATTATGCAATGAAATATTTCTTTAGTTAATTTTGAACATGAGAATCACATAATCAAATTCGGTTTGGACCTTGAGTATCTCAGGATCCTTCCAAGGTCCTTTATCAGACCGGAGGCAACCACCTTGCTCTGAACAGTTACATGTTCCTCCCATGAAATCTGGCAAGTTACTGACAAGCAAATAAAAACACATTAAGATCAGTCCTAACAAACTTCAATGATTGCTCACAATAACAAGGCAACTTTCATGTCCACCCATTTCACCTCGCATCTATTATTTCAAACAACTTGGTTTGGTACTTGTTTCCTAGAACCTGCAAAATTGTTCAAGGGGAAAAAAGAGGAACTTAGCATTTGAGCCACATTAACACCAAGTAACGTAAATCTCCCAAATTATGATATGCATTAACACACATACATGAATTTTAGTGGCTGTCTTGGGATCAATAAAATTCTTCACTGTATTCCACAGTAGCCGAAAGCCTGGACCAGCGTTGATAATGAACATTTGATGGAGGGTCTGCAGTTAATAAACAACATCAGTCAATAGTCCAAAATATACGAAACATTATACACGAAGAAATCTAATGATCCAGGATTTATACTTCAGGATAATTATCGCCATCAATCTTCTGGAGCCGTGTGATGAGGTCCCTCGCACTCTTGTTAAAGTTTTTTAAACCCTGCAAAGCAATTCGGTGTGTATAAAAATAGTACTCAAATGGATGACTTCGAAGTTCGAAGAATGAGCCACAAGTCATGATGGCGGGAAACAAAACAAACGAAAGCAAAGTAAGAGTCAACCATACCACACCATGAACATCCAAAATTGTTGTACTTGAATCAATGTGCCGTTTTGCTGCAATGGTACAAGCAGGAAACTTTATTGCAAAAGCTTTCTCAAATTCTCTCACATGGTATTTTAAGTAACGGTCCATAGTAGTAACTTGCATGAGTTTGTTTGGGTCAACTTTCCCTAGTCTCTCTATGTACACAGGCCTCCCCTCCTTATCGACTCCATGATAACCCTGGGGATAGTACTTCACAACTTCATTCAACTCTTGGAAGTCAAAATCCTAGTGGGCAAACACCAAATTATAAGTGATGCCGAAAATCTAAGAGAACAACTAAAACATGAAAATAAAATGAATTCGAAGTCACTTGGAGAAAACTCAATATAGTCACTTGGAAGAATGGTTCAGTTTCACCTCAATAATTGTGTCAGTACCGAAATCTTTCCTCCATAGAAGCATATCAGCCCACATTAGCTTCGACTTTTCAGTATCAAATTTCCTTGCTTTCAAAAATCTGCAGGCACAACTCTCATGTGTAAGAACTTTTAACAGTTCTTTTTATTTAAAAGAGAATCACAATTGTAGTAACGAGTAAGAAAAAACTGCAAGTTTGTACAAAATCTATACTTCAAGCTGCATATTTCTGAGAAAATAATCAAATGCAGGCTCTCTGACCCGAATGCTAGCCCAGTTGAGAGTTTCCAAAGTACCGAGATTAAAAGTGCCCAATGAAAGATGTAACATAGCTAAATGATGTAAGACTCACATAAGTGGTTAACCTAACCTTTTATCTTGAGATAGAACAGAACTTTACCCTCACAAACCCAAAGAAGACACTTTCAACTATGGATTTAGCATAGTAAAACAGTTCTCCTAGGTTTCTTGTGAATTAGTGAGGTTTTACAGAATATATGATGTGATCCGTACGCCAGATCAATCCATGTTCTTAGTCTCCATCTGCAGCATTTCCACATAATATAAGATTCAACTAAAAGAAGCAAATATAAAGAATGTTGACCTCAACATCATATGGTAGTCATCAAACTTTTCAGGTAGCAGCTCATCCAACATCAAGGCCTGTCTAAACAACTCAACAGCTTGCAACTCCTCGGCATCCCTGATATCTTCAATTGAAACTGAACTAACCCGACCATCGCTCTTTCTTCTATTGCTCTTCTTCTTCTTCAGCGAATGCTTAAACTTTGAAGAAGCATTTAGTGCCTTCTTTTTCAAAGCACCAATTCTAGTCCTCCTTTCATCCTCCGAAGTTTCAAAATCTGACTTTCTTTCTCTTCTCTCATCATGACCAGATGAACCCTCAAAGCCTGTTCCACCGTAAATATATTCATATACATGTACGAAGCCCATTTCGAATACTAAAGCAAGCATGACCCCTATGTAGTAATTACATCTTGAAAATGACTGCATTTTTTCCGCAACGTTTGTTAGCATAATCTTGACAAGTTGAAGTTCAATGGAGCAATAATCAAAATTTGAATGCTGTTAGAATCTCAGACTACTTTATGTCATCAGTAACATGTCAATATTGCAAAGTCATACTCATACATGTGGGGGCATACATAATGAATAACACAGCACAAAATCTAGGAAATTTCACCACTGGTTTGCCTGAATAAGAAAATATTTTTAAACTTCCAGCAATAGCTTCAAATGAAAATGCAGGTAGGCAAGATTGATAATTGTGAAATAGATCACGTCACTCTTTACATCCACCCAGAAATATTTTTGTTTTCTTCTGTCCAAATATAACAGTGTTCCTAGCTCGAACCATAAATAGCAATTCAAGTCAAAACCATAAACAAACTAACTAGTACAATCGGAGCAAGGGATATCATGAACACCCAAAAAGCTAAAATCAGTATTCTAAACAGCTTACCCCAAATCCCAAAACAACAAAAGCCCATATAATTAACAAGTAAATGCAGATAAAAAACTTGCGCAGATTTATCATACAAGGCCTTGCAAATCTATCCAAGTGTCCCGACATCGCGGAATTCCCGATTACCAACAACCTACTCTAGATTTACTGGTAAATGTAACGCTCGATTAGATCAATCATCACCAACTATTCACTACTGAAGAGCCCAAATTCTAATCAATTGAAATTATTATTAGAAAATTATAATTCTCCGCATATCGATAACCCAATAGTTTCCGAGGAAAACAAGACCCTCACGGAAGTACTGGCACGAATCACGAGATTGATCCACGGTAATAAATGTTAGAGAAAAGAAAATCTATCATTATATTAAAAGATTAACCATTTTAACACTTTTAGCAAGTTTTTCCCGCCAAATACATTTAATGTCTCCTAAAAATAGAGCAACATTAAATGTTGCCCTTAAATCATGCCAGTTGTTAATTAATTTGGAGAAAATCATAGCAACTAAAACAAATAACATTAATTACGGCTGATTTAATATTTAAATGGTAAACAAATATTACTTTTTTATAACTGATTTAAATTTATGTCTGTTTAAAAGTAAAAAATTATTTTTATAATTTCAACAAATTTGTACTCTTTAATGTACGGCTGATTTAAAATTAAGAATTTACTTTTGTATTTTCACAAAAAATCGTATAAAGAAGTATTGCTGGAATAATAATAAAAAATTAATTTGTTAAACCATATTTTGCACTCATAATCTCATCAAATTCAAGATTTAAAATTATAAAGAATGTATATATATGTGGACTGATTGAAGATATATAATTCCTTAAATTAAGGAATTTTTTCCGGTAAAAGAAAATATAAACTTTAAATATAGATTTTATTAGTAGTGTATACCAAAGAATATTGTTACATTTAAAATTCCTATGAAGAAGAATTTTATTAATTTTCAAATTCAATATCTCATAAAAATAATATAATACGCATTTACATTCTATGAAACAATATTTAAAACCCACCGTTCAACATGCATAAAATGTAAAATTACCTAACATGAATCATTTTAACTTTCTAAAATCAGTACACAATTTGCTCGGTATGTACGTATGTACTAATAGTCTAATAGTTAAGAGTTAATATTTGCTATGACATCTATTGGTTTGAAAGAATTCCATTTTGTATGGAATTCGAAATGAAAAAACATATTCTGAAAATCAAATCTGGTTTAGAGATCGATTTCTTAATGGCCTTAAATTATGCAAATATATTGTTTCAATTTTTAGGATTCTTTTTTATGATCTTAGTCTTTGCATTATATGAAATCTATACTTATTTAAAAAGTCATCCTATTTACTAGAAATAGTAGGCAGAAAAGTCAAAGGTAATTAATGCTTGCTGGAAATAGAATGATATTAATTACAGATTTGTTTTGGTATTTATAGGCTTCACATTAAAGATTTGTTATGGGATAAAATCAGAACCAATTTTTTTACCTTTGCTAGAAAAGTCAAAGGTAAGTATAGATTTGTTTTATCCCATAGCATCTGTTTAGTTAAGAAAATCCCATCAAATCAGTTTTATATGTCAAGCTTATGAATAAAGATTTGATCGGTCAAAATCAAATCCTTATTTTACGTTACCCATAAATAAAGTAGATGTCAAGCCTAAATTGAAGGGTTTAGTTGTCTATATAGTCATTGATTTACGTAAATACATCTAATGTTTAAAGTTTGTGTAGATTGAAAATTCCTTCTTTATCTTTTTACAAAAAATCTTATTATTATTGCATGGAAAATCAAACTCATAATGTTGTGTACAAGGTGGTCTTTAATAATATATGATTGTTTGTTTGTCGAATACTATCTTATTGTATGATATTCCTGCGTATTATAAAACTTTTATTGAATATTGCATCTTATAATATAGTATTCCTCAAATAAATATATCCCATGCCTCGCACGGTTCACGTACTATATATATCCCGTACATTTTTCTGTATTCATGTATATAATTATAAGTCTGGATAAATAGCCTTAAAATTGTGCACCCCGTGCATCGCACGGGCTCTGTACTAGTATAGAGAATGATTTCTCTTGTTTATATTTTCATTATAACTGAAGCTCTTATCTATAGAAAAACTTCTGATGGCATAATCGTAATAATATAATTACATCAGGGGCAAAATAGTCATTCATATATATTATTTTATTCTCCTCATGCACAATATTATAACACTCCCTTGAATGACTATTTTCTAAATATCACTATTTGAACAAAATATAATCTGAACATCTTGAAGTTTATCTTGTGGCCATCAAGTATCGCTGCTTCATTATGTCAGGAAAAATCCGGTGGGACAAAACCTGATCATATCGAAATCACAACATTACTTCCTCGGAAAAACCCGGTGGGACAAAACCTGAGCATTGTGGAAGCATAATATTGCTCCCCCTCAAATATATCATCTTTAGTGGAGTATCCACGTGCTGCCTCATTAAAACCTTGTCAAGAAAACCCAATGGGAAAAAACTTGATCGAAAGAAAAAGAGAACAACTACTCCAATATCTTTTTATCATCATGAGGAATCATATCATTTATTTAGTAGTCATCATCATACCATGAATATGCCTCGTTAAAACTTTATTAGGAAAAACCCAGTGGGAAAAAATCCTAATTAAGGAAAAAGAGTACACTATTCATATGAATACGCCATCTATGTTGCTTCATTAAAAACCTTGTTGGGAAAACCCAATGGGACAAAACCGCAGTCAAGGGAAAAAGAGTACAACGCGTATTCCATATATTCACCATAATATTTTCATGAGTATCATGGAAATTCATTCAGATTTTCAAATATTCATGGTATTCATACCATATCATTCTTTGTGCAACTTTCAGTCTTACCCTCATTCATCATTTATTTTGGGTATTTCAATTTGCACAATATCAACGCTTCCAGCGTATTATCACAATATTTCACATACTTCACCTCCATCAGTATCATTCAGTTTATTTGCACACTTCCAGTGTGATACATATATCATTTAAAATTTCAATCATTGATTCTCCCCCTCGTCTTAACAAATTTCTGATCTGTAGTTTCAATATTGAATTTCTTGAGAGAAGTTCATATAGTCTCCGTTTCGTTCTCGATTTCAATATATATAATAGTAGGACTTTGAAATCATATCACTTGCAATGTGCCCAATTTTCTTTCAAGAATTCATCATATTAATTGGGTATATTACTAGCTTTTACACTCATTTTCATAATCATCTCGTAACTTCAGGTTACATTTTATATATACATTCATTGCTCAAAACATCTTGTAACTTCAAGTTACGAGTCATATAATCATATGGATATCTAGTGGATCCATAATATTTAGTAGCACATATGGAGAGGTAGTAGGCCCCTATATCGTACCCCTTTTCATATTGATTCACGAATATTTAGCTAGGAATAATTTTCATCAATCGAGAACAAAACATCACATATCACAAATCATGCAAATCATTATCATTTATATCAATAAACATCACAATAATTCATATTTATCACAAACATATCACATCATCTTTCGGCGGCAATAAATGCACTTCTAGTGCACCCGATATTTAAATTCAGAAACGTATCACATGCGTATCATGTCTTCTGACATAAAGACTTTTAAGCTCTGTTTTTATATTCGTATCGCATACGCATCATTTCTATAAATTATCAGGTAAATCATTCAATCTTCCTTAACAAAGGTTCGAATTCACAAATGGATTTAGCACTCTCAAATATCCATAAATATTATCCATTTCTCCCAATAAATATCATAAAAAGAATTTATCGATCTCGATTAGAAAGATTGAGGGTGCTAACGATTAATGATATTCCAAGTGATATTCGATGGTTGATTGAAGCAAAAGTTCGATTGTCTGGAGAGTTTCCAAATTCATACAAATATATGTCAGGTATGGGTAAAAGTACTTTTGCAAAGAAACGAAGAGCAAAAAGATTAGGTGGATGCTTCAAATGCGCTCGATGGACTTGTGACACACGATGTACATCTGTGAGGTTCGTGTCTAAAAATCGAGAAGATAAAATATTATTTATAAAGGATGGATTGAGTAAAGAATCTATGGATCAAACGATTCAACAGATTCTTGAGACACATCCGAGTGGTTATGTGCATCGTGAGCTTATGTCTCTATGGATTCGTTTCAAAATGAAAAAGAACGTTATAGTCTCGAAAATATTATTTCAAAAGATCAAGTTTGTAAAAATTGTTCTTGCTAGTACGAAAAATACATTTCTGTATTTTGTACTGTAATTTTCAGAAAATCTTATAGATGCCGACATATAAGATTCTTTGAAGACTTAACGCCTTATCTGTCAGTTATCGTTTTGTGAAACATCCTATTTAAATAGCGAGTCATCCATCATAATCATATAACTCACAAAATTTAGTTTATCAATAAATAGATGGATGTTTCAGAGTCTTCTCAAGGTAATAAATTTCTTCATCCGATCAACACCATGTGTGTTCTTGGTGGTTCTAAACTGGTAAGTTTTTCTCAAAATATGATATTGTAAGTCAACTAGTAAGGGAGATGGGGAATCGAAAAATCAATTTACTGTATGGAGGGACTAGCATCACTTTCTTTGATAACCTTTTAATGGCTGGAAAATGTTTTGATATAGAAGTGAAAAGTATCATACCTTTTCATAGAGCTTCAAATAAGGTCATCAAAGATTCCACAAGTTTGATGCTAACTCATTCTATTTATGACTGTATGATGGATATGATGAACAATAGCGATGCTTTTATCATTCTTCCAGGTGGTTATGGAACTTTAATGACAATGTTTACCATTGCTTCTTGGGCAGAATTGAAAGTTCATAATAAGTCCATAGGTCTATTGAATTTTAATAACTATTTTCATGGTTTACTTGAATTTTTAGACGAAGGAGTATATCAAACCTTTATATCTCCTTTAACGAGAGAAGTATTCAAATCTGCAGACACGCCTTCTGAGCTTATCAAAAAGCTTCAAGAATGCATCACATTTCAAGATTCTGTGGAAACACAAGGGGTCAAGCGAAAAAGAGCTTTTGATCCTTTAGATCTCTCATTATGAACCCATATAATAATCATGGATGGCAGAGTTACGGAGTTTATACTCTCGAGACGCACCCTTCTTTAATGGGTTCTATTATGTAATATTTTTCGCATATTTATTGAGGATTCACAACCTCTTATCTGTATTTCCATCATATGATCCATATGTACTTGTTCTTCAGTAATAATAATATTTT